TGGAGGTAGAGTGAGTGTTAGTGTCACAGGGAGGGTTAGTGTTAAGGTTACAGGGAGGGTTAGTGCTGAGGTTACAGGGAGGGTTAGTGTTAGGATTACAGGGAGGGTCAGTGTTGGGTTACAGGGAGAGTTAGTGTTGGGGTTACAGGGAGGGTCAGTGTTGGGGTTACAGGGAGGGTTAGTGTTAGGATTACAGGGAGGGTCAGTGTTGGGGTTACAGAGAGGGTTAGTGTTAGGATTACAGGGAGGGTCAGTGTTAGGGTTACAGGGAGTGTTAGGGTTACAGGGAGGGTCAGTGTTGGGGTCACAGGGAGGGTCAGTGTTGGGGTCACAGGGAGGGTTAGTGTTAGGGTCACAGGGAGGGTTAGTGTTCGGTTCGCTGTCCTCGGGATGGTATCTCTGGTATTGGCAGCCTACACAGGAAGCTCTTATACTATTTTATAGATGAATACTTCTGTTTCTGATCCCGCGATTGCCTCCTCTGTCCCCGCAGACCCGTCCCTGGCATTGGTGGAGGTCCACGTGGAACAGAAATCGGTGACGGCGGTGGAGGGACACGGCATAACTCTCCCCATCTGGTACTCCAGCAGCTCGGATGAAAAGCCGTATGTCATGTGGTCGGTGCAGCGCGATCAGGGGGAGCAGGTTCAGGTGCGTTACGTCGGAGACGCATTATAACAACAACTCTGATATTCGGCTGATATTCCCTGCCGGTGGATCTTCCAGCTGCATGTGTTTAGACAACGCTGATTGATTCTCCGCCAGAGAATGTTTGGTGAAAGTCACATTCACGCTGATGGTAGACACCGGACCCTCTCACTTTCAGATCTTGAAGTACATGGATGGAGAGACCTCCGTGGCTCCGGATTTCAAGGACCGGCTGAGGTTCGCCCACGCCATGCCAACGAGGAACATCTCCGTCGTCATCAACAGGACGCTGGCGACGGACGCGGGGAAGTACCGCTGTTTCGTCAACGTGAAAAACGACGACATCAGCGGCAGCAGCAACATCGGGGCGGTGGATGT